TTCGGAAACTGATTGTGAATCAATTTGGGGCGACATTCAGTGAAGAACATTATAACTTGATCTCTCGTACAATTTTTGTATGTGATTGACAGGGTTTGCGACAATATAAATTAATGTGGGACGAATGTTCAACAGTATTTCTTCAGGGTTTTTAACAAACCTAAGAAGCTTGAAATATTGCATATACTAAAGCATATCACCGATAATGCGCCAGAACTCTCCCAGTGTCCCAAGGCCGTTTCAAAGCAATCACTGCGATTCTCGACTATATCTTTTTCCCTCTGAGTAGATCATATTTTCCATTTTGTGTTCAAATGATTTCTATGCCCGAAGACTGAGGAGGAGATTTGTGAGTTGGTGCGGATGGCGTGATCTTTGCGTGATCTTATTTAGAACAGTATTTTCGAAATTAGTAACCGCTGACCAACCCCTTTTTCCTCGGTGGCTTGGATGGATGATGGAAGACAAGGGTAAAGGTTCTGCGAAGGAAACTGCGAAGGTGAAATTTACAAGTCTGCGGAATCAAGTGTATAACTTACTTCGTCAAGGGGTAAGTGATTATTTGGATCAGTCGCTAAAGGAAGGTTTAAGTTTGATAACTTTTATATCTGATAAAATATGCTCAGTGGTGTGAATGGGTTTCTTTTTTCAACACCCATACTTTTGTGGTGGTTAGTTTTAGAGGTTTTTCATTATTTTTAAGCAATCCCAGAAGGACACTCATGATGGAGACTCTTCCGAAATCCTGCCTGAGGCTGTATATAAGGTGTGTAAGAAAAAATACCTCGAAGCTTTAGGATTTAACTTCCATGACTTTATAAACATAATGTGTCCACTAAAATAATCAGCATAATACAGTTATTTTGGAAATTATTTATCAGCTTGAATGGTTTTATGTTGACCAGAGATGGCAGGGGAAGATTTTAACGATTTTCTTGTTGATCTTTTGGATTTTGTTCGAGATAATTCGATGAGCGGATGGCGTGGTGCGCGTGAATAGCACCTTATGTAGTTAACCAAGATCACACTGACAATATCACTCGAAACATCATCAAAATTATTTTGTGTTCTGTTTAGGATGATGTTCGGGAATTTCAGGATGACCCTCGTTCCGATGAAGAGGTGTGTTTTTCTATGAATTGTTTCTGTTTCAACAGTGTAGAATTTGAAAAATGTTTGATGAGCGAAGAGGGAGATGATAATTGTTGTTGTTTTTGTTTTTATTCTGTTCATAGTTATTTGCATACTCATTCTCTGATGCTGTCTTCCAGGTGTTAGGAGCAATAAAGGACATCTATTTCAATGACTCCTCATTTGATTCCAGTGATTATGAGCTTCATGTAAGTATTCTGCTTATTCCTAAATTTTACTCAGTTCTATCCTTATTTAAAACCCAGGTGGGATCATTCATATTCATTGAAACATCAAATTATTGTTAATATTGCTGATATTAACAAATCAGTCAGGCAGCTTAGCTGAGGGATTTTTGGGTACCAAATGAAAATAGAAGCAGGGGAGCTGCAAAATCTGGCAGTGGAGGTTGGAGTGCAGCAACCACCTGTTAGAAGACACCTGCTGTCTGATTCCTGCTGCTTCAGACACCTATTTGTCATTGTACTTCATCTGACCAATCACAAGAGAGTTTGGCAAATGAAACTTGTCATTTCAGATCCAGAAATCAAAACATATCCTTGGGAACTTTGTTTGTATTTTGATGCTGGTAAAGAATGAAACAAAAAAGATGGTCTATTAAGAAAGGACCCACAAAAGACTAACAATTTAATATATATATATATATATAGAAGAACTTTTAGCTGTCAATTTAAACGATGTGTGGAATAAATCGCTTCTCAAAAGCCAAGGATTAATTCACTGATTTGAACTATTGATACAGAAGCAAGTAGTGATCTCTATTTTTGATAAACTGAGGACTTTTTTGATCAACTTGAGATATTTATATTGTAGAAAAACAATCCCTGTGCCTTTCCAGTTTTCACTAACCACTATCTTTCATAATTTAACTCTTACATTTTCGTGTTATAGCAACTTCCAGAAGTCTTGGACCTTGATGATCTGGATGATTATCGAAATGACCTACGGAGACAGCTTCAGGCAGTAAGCTCAGTTATTTTGTTCATGGCATCTTTACCAGGATGCAGACCAAATAACTTGTTTGTAATTTGTTTAAGGTCTCAAAAACACTTTACAAGAAAGTTCTGGAAAACCACAGTGCTTATGTGCAGGTAATGTTATTTGAAAGAGTTCGTTTTGTTTCATGAATCTTACAATAGTTGAAAAAAGGAGATGGTTCTGTTATTAGTGGGTACTGACATTTTTCCGTTGGTTCTTTAATTGTAGGAATTACAAAGAGTAATGGACCTGGAAGAATCATTACATACTGCTTCTTCAATCTGTGACAGAGGACGAAGGTTGGATCAAGTTCTTTTCTTGTTTCTTCCTTAGCATAACTGTTTTGTGATTGACTTTTGAAATATACCTTTTAGACACTTGGATCGGGCTAAGAGAGGAGTATCTGCGGGTGGATTAGGAATATTGGCTAAACATCGAAAGAAGCAGCACCTACGTATCTTACTAGACTCCTTAAGAACAATAAAGACACTGGTGAGGAACAATTTGTTGAATTCTTTGTAAGCACTATGATTGGTGTTGAGTAGAACAATAGCACAGACAGACTACAGAAATATTTCATCACACCCCAATTTACATTTATTTCCCTTTATTAAAAATTGAATTTTTACATCTCCCAATTCAAGCAAAGGACAGATGTCAGACTCAAAGAAATGCTTGAGGTATGAGCAAGATAATGGGAAACATATACTAGATATTATCAGTTACCAATGTAACTAATAATTAGTTGTTAAAAATGTTTGAAAAGACAACATCATGATACCTTAGCTACCACAAAAAATTGGTGACAATTTTAAAAAGGATGTAGAATTTAACAAGAATGTACTCAGTAGACTTTTAGTGGTGAATAACTTATTATTCACCAGCAAAGGGGTCTTTACTTTGAAGAATTTTAACAGAGCTCTTTAGGATGCTTTTTCACTATAAAGTTGAACTTTGAATTACATCTGTCCAGCAAATAACTTTATATTTGTTTTCCTTTCTCTTTTAATTCTCTTTATAATTTTTTACTGATAACCTTTTCCACAGACAAATACAGTATCTCACTTAGCAAATTAATAAGTAACTAGTAGGAAACTGGATAATTCAAAGAAGAATATCTTATATGTAATTTGAATATTGTTTACCACTCAGTTCTTTGTTCTGCCTCTAAGGTAGTAAGACTATATTAATCTGCAGCAGCTTCAAACTCCCAAATTGTTTCCATGACCACCAGAAACCTTATAAGAACCAATGAGATAGCAGAATTTGTAACTGTGTCATTCAATGTTATTTTTTTTGTGTGTCAGTGGCACCTGCAGGTTTTTTTCAGTCTGTGTCAGCTGACTTTGCCATATTGTTGTAAAAACTACACCTGTCTTAGTTTGTCACCCTTGTTATTCAGTGACAGAATTCACAAAATTAATGGTTTTACATTTTTCTGTAGGAAGAGGATTATCCTGGTGCTATTGACCTGTGCCTTGAGTGCGAGAAGGCAGCCAGGGCATTCAAACATTACAGCTGTATAAGGTAACTATGTGGTTCTGCTCCCACACTGGTTGTGCCTAGGACCACAGCTGGCATCTTACCATTACAAAAGATTTTGAAACATGGAAATCATCATAAGTAAACTAAAAGGTTCTGTTGATTGATTAGAAGTGGGTTTGATCTACACCTGATATCTTAAAATCACATGATAATGGGAACTAAAGCCATCAAGATTGGCAGGACAAAAGCAAAACTTTTTTCCTTGTAGGGCCTGGATTTTTTAACTTGATCAAACAAACTGTATACATTAGCCTTTTTATTAAGGCAACTGAGTGTAGTCCCCTCCTCACAGACACCTCTTTGTTAAGGACAGTTTCCTTTGTCATGACAAGTTTCTTAATAATTGTTCTTTTAAATAATACAAAAACTTCAATAACACAGATCCTCTCTAATCAGGCAATGGACACTTAATCTAAACCAGTCTGTGTAATTCATTGTCTTTGATTTTCAGTGAATTGAGTTCAAACTTACAAGAGACTCTTATAGACATTGAGGTAAGTTTCCAGTCAATGTATCAGTTATTTCTATCCCAAGCTAATCATATCAACAGTCTTCTAAGCCAGAAGTCCTGTTGTAAACTGACTGTGAATCGCACCTACCTTAAAGTTTATATTATCTATAATTTCAATATTGCCACCTCCAGGTTAGCTCAATGGATAGAATGCTGGCCTTTTGTGTGGGAGGTTGAGGGTTCGAGCCCCGGCCTGACCAACACTCAGGGTCTTAAAATAATTGAGAAGAATTTGCTACCTTTCTATAACAAGAAATGGTTAGATATTCTAGTCTTCTCGGATAGGGACGAATAAATGGAGGTCCCGTCTCCTGCAGGGTTAGGGGTAGGAGACGTTAATTTCCCACGCACGAGATTACTGTGTGATGGATATCCTCCCCTGGGGTGGGATGGGTGGGATATTGGGTGCACTTAATTTTGAGCCTCGCTCTGTTGTGCGACCCTCACCACACTCTGGTGAAAGTGATTAAATAATAAACAATGAGTTCTGAATGATGCACCTTTTCTTAAGGTAGATTACATGTACTCAGTTTGTACCATTACAAATCCTTAAACTTAAATCACTGCAATTTCTCCTGACTATTTCCTCTTCCAGAAACAACTTGATGTGGCTCTAGGGAAGATGTGCAAAAACTTTACTCCCGTGAATTATGAACGGCTGCTGACTGCTTACAGATACCTGGGCAAGACACAGATTGCAATGGATAAACTGATCATACATTTCATGACAGCCATTAATCACGAATCATTTTCTGTTGTAATGGATCACCTTGGGGTACTTACTGCTTTTATAAAGATCAGGATGTTAATTGAAAATTATATTATGTAGCCTTGATTTAGGAGTCCAACTGTAGAAAAAAGTCATCCATTAAATGGGAACTCGGTGAATATATACCTGTTGATCTGATAGGTGTATATAGAACCCTGGTAATTTTTGAGCCTGGCTAAATGTTAATTGTTATCATTTCTAGATGTTTGATTGGAAAAAAGTCATTAGATAGTCATGTGTTATTAAGCAGAAAATGTTAATTATCAATTCTTGAAATGTCTGCCCTGTTTTTGCTATATTTAGGAATTTTCTTCTGAAGTTATTACTGAAGATGGCTTTCAGCATCTTCATTTTGAGGAGCAATGCAAGGTAAAACTATCTCTTTATTTGATTATTTTGTAGTAACAGATTTACAAATTGATATTTCTCCATTGGGTCAACAAACCAATTACAGTTATAATTTTTTTTTCAGAAAGTTGGAGCTGAACAGTTTACCTCATGTCTATCAGATCTTTGTAAGGTAGGAATCGCAGGAACTACAGCACTCTGACCTGCAACCATTCAGATTAACTGGATAACAGTTTTCCCAATGAAGTTGCCATGAAATTTGCCAATTTGGTGACCTCTAATGGCTGCTAAAAGCGATATGCTTATTTAGTGTACAAAGTTATGTTTTTAATTTAAAAAAAAAAAAACTGTTCAGTCTGTAGTTGAATTAATCAGGTTTTTTAAGTGATAGGGGCACGGATTTCCAAGCTCTATGTTGTTTTTGTCTTGTATCTTTTTTCAGTATTATAATTTCATGTTTGTCTGACAGAAATTCAAATTCTTTAGGTGTTGTGGTCACTGATGTTAAGCTATCATCATATTATCAAATGGCATGAACAATATGATCCTGCTATGCACATCAGTGAGACTGAACAAGATGAACCATCAGCAGAGGCAACTTATAACAAAAATTACATTCAACAGAAACTAGAACATGGACTAAATAGGATATGGAAGGTTTGTTTTAACAATGAGTTTGGGTAGGAAGTGCACCTTGGTCTTAACAAGCACCACTGTGCTTCACCCCCAACATGGCATTGTTTTCTCTCTTGCCTACCTGGCACTTCTTGAACAACTTGTCAATTAACAGTTATTCACCAAAGTGGAGTTAAATATCCTTAAATATTTACCAAGCATAAAAAGTGTCAAGGTAAATATCCACCATTTTCACTGACTCAGAGGTGAATAATCAATTTAGTGGATACCACACATAAACCAAAAACAGATGGAAAAATGGTAGGAAATGAAATTGCAGTTGCACAATTTTGTCTTTTTTGGCTACCAAGAGGAGAATATTACTTGCTAATTGAACTGAATTAGCCAATCAGCTCAAGCAAAAAGCACAATTCACCTGTGTGGTATGTACCAATTTTTTATGGATCTGGGATAAAGGAAATAGCCATGAAATGTAATAAGTTGAATACTATTTACTTGATTAATGACAGAGTATACATGATTGCAAATTAAGTAACAGAGTGTTGTATTTCTTACCCATTAGGAAGTCCAGGAGAGAATCAAAACACATCTTCTTGCTCATGACCTGTCTTATTTCAAATATGATGACTTCATTTATGTTTTGGATCTTGTCAACAGGTAGGGTTACAGCTGTGAGCAGTATCAATTGAAATAAAAGATTCATATGTTAAATGATCTACAAGCAAAACTGATGTATGTGCATGTTTACAAAAATATATTTGAAATTGTGAAATTACGTAGCAGATATATTTTGTCTTTAAATATTAATAAATTTGTGACATGTTTTCTTGTCTTAGGTTGATAGCTGTTGGTGAAGAGTTTTGTGGCAGCACATCAGAGGATCTCCATGATTCTATACGAACACAAACTGTGAAATATTTCAAGACTTACCACAGGTCAAGAATGGATGAACTTCGAATGTTTCTTGAAAATGATGCTTGGGAGTTATGTCCTGTGAAGGCATCTTTCAAAATTGTGGACCTTTCAGTAAGTAGAAACTCATAGACTTGTGTTACACTGGACTTGAGAGATTTACTTTAAAAAGATTTTCGGCACGTTCTCTGCAGGAATTTCGTTTTATGAAACATCAGCATCCACTCATCAAAACTCACAAAAGAACAGGATCAGGAACGGTTCAAGTCACCACAGACACAGGTATTTACACTTTCACTTAATGTTGTGTATAGGTAGTATACAACAAAGAAATGAGAAAAAAAAAAAAAGGAAAACAGAGCTGTTACAGTTTATGTATTAAAAAATGAGAATTTTCTGCATTTTCAGTGCCTATTGTTATATGTAGTTGTGGAAATTCCTGTCAGCAGCCATTGATCAGGCATTGCCCCTTTAGCCACTTACACAATGTATACACGTGTGAGAGAGAGGCCCATTTAAAAGAGTTTCCACCATTTATCAATCTTTTTGAAGTTCTTAATACACATATAGGCCAATTTTCTGAAGGTTTCTCTCACCTGATTGAATTAAAACTTTTAACAGGTTTCTTCCCAAGATATTCCACTCATGGTAATCCTTTTGATGATGTGTATGTTGAAGATGAAGGGGAGGATGTATTGGCAGAAAATGGAGTGAGTTTTATTCTTCTTTCAGATGGAAAAAGCTTTATTAACTTAAAGTTCACCAGAATTTGAACAAATAAGACAACCTCTAAATTTAACTTAAAGTTCACTAGAATTTGAACAAATAAGACAACCTCTAAATACCTGTGATATGTCACTCTGTAAATCATGATAAATATAAGTATGTAAATTTGTTTCTAAAGATTTGTACATTGTACAGGTGGAAGAACAAGAGGACACGTAGTCCCCTACTAGGTTCATCCACCTAAACCCAACCCACCCATCCCACCCTGGGGAAGGACATCCATCACACAGTAATCTTGTGCGTGGGAAATTAACGTCTCGTACCCCTCCTGCAGAAGAAGGGACCTCCATTTATTCGTCCCTATCCAACAAGACTAGAATATCTAACCATTTCTTGATGTTGTAGAGGGTAGCATATTCTTCTCAATTATTTTAAGACCTTGAGTGTTGGTCCGGCCGGGGCTCGAACCCTCGACCTCCAGCCCATCAGTCCAGTGCTCTATCCATTGAGCTAACTTGGAGGCGGTCTAAATTTCTGTTCTATATAGAGATATATAAAATGGGTTGGTGAGGCAGCCTTTGAAACATGTAAAGCTCAATTTAAAGTAACAAATGGAAATTATAATGCACAGGCCACATGACCAGACTCTGATAGAGCACACATGTTGTAGCATGTGACACTTTCTGCTAGACAAACTTTAAACTGCTTATGATACTGACAGTATGGGATGTGAAGTCTATTTCTTCACTCTCAAGGAAATAGTAGATGGTGATGTTAATGAAAATGAAAAGAAATCCAGAGGACTTAGTCAAGATGATGATGAAGAAGATGATGAAGATGATGATATTCCAGGTAAAAGGAATTGGTGTTTCTTTTTATCTGATGTGTTTTTTTCACCCAATCTTGCAATCTGTAGTGCTCCATTTTTTTAAATTTAGTTTACCTGTTCCTTGGTTCTTCTTTTTAGAGGAACTCAAGTTGGATTATGTGGATGAAAGGACTGGTGAAATTCCATTGAGCAGGTGTGATGTGGATAGTCTGTCTCTATTCCATCTGCTGCACAACAGATGGGAGTACAATGCAACTACTGACACTCTTCTGTTTTCTAATGAACTCTTAGCTGCATGAAAGTAGTCCTCTGAGGCAATAACAAAACAAATCCATAAGGATGTCAATACTGAATCACATCTGTTGAAAACCAACTAACTCCATGACATAGTCTACATTACAAGTGACTATGTTGGGGAACAGCATTATATTTCACCTCAGTCAACAACTTAATACAGATGTACAGTCAAGTACTTTGAAGGTGGTTCCTTAATTGAAAATATGATTTTATTTTAGGACAGAAAGCTCTGCTCATAGCAGAAAACATCAAAAATTTTTGTCTAAAGTTCCGTGTATCACCAACACAACCCTCAATGTGTTGAGAGTGTTTGGTAGGTATAATAATTATCTGAGTTTGTGTCTGACTGTATACATGTTCCAGAATACTGCCACTTGTAATGAGGTTTTTATTTAAAAAAAAAAAATGAACACAAAAACAAAAGAAGAAAAAGGAGAAGAAATAGTGTATTAATTAACAAAACTGTCTGTTTGGAGCTATAAGTGAAGGTTTGCCAGTCGTTGTTGTCAGGTTTTGGCTTGTGACAATCTGTAACTCTAGACAGCCCTTTTGATTTCAACTGATGTTATCATGACAGGAGTTCCTGGTTTGGTATCTACTTAAATTATTTATCTTTACTATCTTGTAGGTATTCTTAACACTATAATCATGTAACTGAAACTGGTTGTGTTCATTGTAGGTAAATACATGCAAATGATGAATGTATTGAAGCCCATAGCCTTTGATGTTGTGATCTGCATGTCACAGTTGTTTGATTACTACTTGTTTGCTGTGAGTAATACGTTACTGTTGGCTTTCTTCCTTGCTGCAACACCATTCTGTTGTTAAGGTGACTGTGCACCTTCAGGGGTGTCTTGCGTGCAAGCAATGTAGCGTGTGCAGTTTAAACTGTAGATATCTAAACCCCTATATCAAATTAAAGCTTATAGGACTGGCTAACAGACTATACCAAAAACTTTTAAAAAAATGAATTGTCAAATTTTTCACAACTTCTAAATGCAACCGCTCGAATCACCTTTTAAGAGCTACAAGTCAAAGGGAATTTGTTCGATTGCTCTCAAATTTTGACAGTAGCTAGTTTTACATATAAACAACGTAAACTTGTCTCCAAATTAATTTTTTATTTCTAAGTACTTTTTTTTAAGAGCGATTTTTGTATTATCACTGTAGTGTATTGTACCGGAAGTGTGAAAAGGTTGTGTTTGTAGGCATCCCGTGATACCTAGTGAAAGTTGTTGTTGTGGTACTCGTTGGCTGCCATGTGGATAGTGTGTGGATTAAAGCATTGAAATCAAAGAACATCGAAGGTTTTTAGTGCCGTATATCTAAATATCACAATCACTCCACATTTTTCTAATCCTATTTCAAAAATGTTCTCTAACTTTTCACTGAAATTGAATATGGCAAATCGCAGACACGTTTTTTTAGTGCTTTGGCCCTGGAAATGGAGGAACACATTAAATAAGCCAAAAACAAAATTCGCTTTGACATGTAATGTTCAAAAGGTGATTCGGGTGCTTGCATTTAGAAGTCGTGAAAAATTTGACGATTCATTGTTTTTCAAAATTTTTGGTATAGTCTGATAGCCAGTCCTATAAGCTTTAATTTAATACAGAGGTTTAGATATCTGCAGTTTCAACTGGATGTGCTACATCGCTTGCACACAAGACACTCCTGAAGGTGCATGGTAACCTTAAAAAAGCTAAGAACTAGCAGTCGTGAGGCAAATCTCAAGTGTCTGAGGGCTTTACACTCTTGCTCACCCCAGTTAAGTCAGTAAGTAACAGGTAATCAAATGATCTTTACAGGTGAGCTGCCATGAGTAATTGGAGAAATTGCTCAAAAAGAAGCCTAAAAAATTTCATGCTTTAACAATAGATAAACCCGATTCTTCCATATACCTGCTGGACCCTGTTACTAACTGAGTGACAAGGTCACATGACATATATATATATTTTTTGTTATTGTTTCTTGTAGGGGAATATAGTCACAACCTGTTAGTTTGGAATTAGTCTTATTTTGAAGTGGAGGGTTCTTTTTTCTCAATTTCTTTCATTTTAACTTAAACATTAGAATCATTTTATCCCTTGGTCTGATAGATTAACAAATCTTTATTCTGTATTTCTTCATTGTGACTAGATTCCTAAACAGGGAACAAACAACCTACTAAAAATGCACCTTGTTTGTTAAATGTGTCTTCTAATTGTTAGCTTGATTCAGTGAGAGAAACACTTGAATCTCATAGTGGCCTGAAACTCTTTTCAGGTTTCTTTTCTTCAATTTTCTTCAGTTGTAGCTCGCACGTGAAGATTGTTTCATTGCATGTTCTTATTGGCTGCTCAACATTGTTTATAGTTTATATTTCATACAAACTATTTAGTGCCATATTAACCATGTAAGTGAAAAACTCCAACTAACTTCTACTTTCAACACACTACTGTGGAGTTTTCACAACTGTGTGTTGAAAGTAGAAGTTAGTTGGAGTTTTTCACTTACATGGTTAATATGGCATTAAGTAATACTTTCTTGGCTTCGATAAGTAGAATTTCACAACAAACGATTTAGTTTGTTTAGTTTAAACCACTAGGGAAAAATTGTATACCAAACATCACTCCTTTCTTATTTCTTATGTAGTGAATTGATGAGAATAAATTTTTTGCAGGTTGCATCATTTTTTGCCCCAGAAGTAATGGTGAGAATGTGAAACAGTCTTTTTAAAAAAATTATAAATATGAATTTAAGAAAGTTAAATAATATTGCCTGTTAAGTAAATTATTAACCACTTGAACCGATTAGTTTTAGTGTCATACTTAAGAAGATTCCTTCAATGAATTATTACAGAATGATATTATTTTTATCATTAATTCTGGTTGATATTAGGTGGATGGAAGTGCCCATGGTTTGAGTATAAAGCTGAGGACAAGTTTAAAAAGAATTTCAGACAATCTTATTCAACATGTAAGTACCATAAACACAAATCACGACTGTCTTAATACAGCTAATAACATCACAGCAAAATTGACCAATCAGTTCTCAGCCAGACTTATTAGTGACAAACAACTCCTTGGCTCAGATGATGAAGTCTTCTTTGGTGGTCAAATCATTAGTTCCCACTTAACTCCTGTAAATAGTAGAAATCACTTTCAAAAAGTGCAGTTAACTGTCAATCTCAAAATAATTATAATGAATTTATTTCAGCTAGTCTGTTGCTAGCCCTAACCCTGCTATTAGGGTTGAACTTACTTGTTTCTGATAATCTGAGTTTTTAATTTTCATAGTTGGAATCTGCTGAAATGATGAATAGTGGAAGTGATATGAAGGTTTGAGGTGTATGATTGATACAAGTTGTGTTAAGGAATTTATCTAAGGGTTAATCACTTATGAATATAATGTAAGTATTTGTTTTCATATTTTCAGGTTCATCATCCTTATTTGTCTCCACTTGTGGATCTTTCTCGAGTTGATACCATGTTTGGATTGTCTGAGAGAATAATTGCTACAGAATCTTTGTAAGTTGCAGTGCTTCACTTTTTCAAAGTTTTGGGAATGATGTTTATGTTCTATGACTTACCAGTGTCTGTAAGATCTTCAGGAAAAAATAATTTAACAGAGGGCATCTTCAGTTAAAGTGTTACTAAGGTCCAAGGTTCTGTTTTGCTTGGTCAGTTAAGAACTCTTAAATGCATTTTGTTTTGTTTGTCTCAGAGTGTTTTTAGCTGGTCAGTTTGAATTTCTTCATCCCCACCTTGAGGCAATGATACCCGCTAATAAACGAGCATTTCTCTCACAGTTTTATTCCCAGGTAAGCTACTCTTGAATCAGTCACAGAAACTCAAGTATAACTTGTTATTAAATCATTATTTATAAAAAACATCGAAGAGTTTCAGTTAGGAGTTGACCACTAAGTTTGATTGACTGAAATCCACAGACTGTGAGTACTGCCCAGGAACTCAGGCGACCAGTTTATAGAAGTGTGGGCTCAAGAGTACTTGATTATGATCAGGTGAGAGAATTCCTCTGGAAATTAAAGGAAAGTGTTATTACTAATTAATTTTCCCGAACAGTGTTGTTAAATTATGAGTATTTACATGTACATAAACAAAGGTAGAGATGGTTTGGATTATAAAATAGCTACCTATGAACTGTTTTGAAGGGAGATAATTTGGTCTTATTAACTAAATTGATATTGTAAATTGGCCACCGTAAAAGGTTTCTAAAGCTTACATTTTAAGCATTAGCCCTTCGTCAGAGCAAAAGTTTGAAGGGAATTTGGGAATATGCTTATCAAAAATGTTTTATGTTGTACAAGCAAGTTAAAATGACTGACCCCTTGTCCATTGATTTCAGACACTTCAACTGATGACTGGAGTGCGATGGGATATTCGGGACATCATGTCTCAACACAATGCCTATATCGACGTTCTTGTGGCGGTACAGTGTGTATTCTGAATTAAAGTAACATTCATTCAGATTGATTTCTTCCAATCATTTCGTCAATCAAATTTTAGTAAATTTTCAAACAGTGTCATCTAGTATAAAAGAAAAGAATTTTGGCAAAAACTGAAACTATTTAAAAATCTTCTCTTGGAAAAGATGTATGAATAAATTATTAGTTGGTAAAAAAGGAGTATTATATGGAAATCCTCTTCTGTCTCGCCCATTCATTGGTTTAGGGTTTTGTAAGTATTTTGTTAGACAAAAAGTTTAATAGGTGTTTTTATTAAAAAAGCTCTCTACATTCTGGTAATGCGCAGTTTTAATTACAGTGCATTGAAATCCATTTGAAGGGGGCATAAACAACATAAACCTTTTCCAATGCTAAAACAGGGATAAGTGTTAAGTCAGAGTACACCACAGAATTCTGTATTCCAATTACCACTACTCATATCCTACATCTGGCATATTGGACCTAATTATGTCTATGTGCTTCTCTTGGTAATCAGGAATTACAAGTTTTCAGTATGAGACTGTCTCAACTAGCCAAGTAAGTTTTGAGTCATGAAATGTAAATACGGTGGATTAGTTTATGTCGCGAAAATCTTGTAAGCGTATCGCGTGATACTTTATTTTCTAATTTAGTAATTCATCATCAATCCTTCTTATGCCTCGTGGCACATAGGGCCTTCACAGAGCTTTTCCACTCCTCTCGATTGGTTGCTGCTGTCCGCACCTCCTCCCACGATCTCCAACCCGCCTCTTCCCTTTCTTTCTCTACTGTTCGTCTCCAAGTGGTTTTTGGTCTTCCCCTTCTCCTTTTACCTTGTGGCACCCAGTTCATAGCAACATTGCAATCATTATTACGATCTTTCCTAAGAATATGACCAATCATTTTCCATCTACGAGACATCACTTCCGCACTCAGTGGCTTCATGCCTGCCTTTTCCAGTAGCTCTTTGGTGCTGACATGGTCTTGCCATCGGATTCCGAGGATCCTTCGTAGGCACCTATTATGGGATACATTCACTTCTTTATCATCTCCTCAGTTTATCTTCCATGTCTCAGATCCATAGAGTAAGACTGGCACTCGTAGAGTTTTATACAGCCTCAGTTTTGTTTTCCTCAAGATGTTATTAGAGATCCAGATCTTCTTTAGTTTGTTAAAGGCACCTCTGGCTTTTGATAACCTGTTCTTCAAGTCCTTTATACCACCACCCTCTCTACAAAATTTGGCCCCCAAGTACACGAACTCATCGACATCTTCAATATCCTGTCCATTGATTATGACCTTTTCTTGGTTCTTTGCATTGATCCTCATCGCTTTTTTAATCAGTAATTAAGTAATTTTGTAATTAATTAAGTAATTTAGTAATTAAGCTGAGAGTTTGATGACAGTTGGGTTACTTAAGATTTAGGTGTATAATTGAGCGTAGCACTGTAATGGCAGACTTTTAGCCAGAATATTCGGATTGCGCACGGCAGAAGTGATATAGAAAATCAATAACGGTCTAAAATAATTAGGTAAGGAATTTTCTAGGGAAACTGTGCGTGCGCGTTTGAGTTGGAACATCTGGTGACGTTGCGTGATGTGTCATTCGTGCCGCAAATGATGCGAGCGTGAGAGTGTAAATTACGGAACTGTTAATCGGCTTATAATGGGAAACAGCGGTTAAAATCAAGTCGACATGAAAAAGCTTGGGATTTTAGTAAATCACGAATAAGTAACGTCAAACGTAGTTTAGGCTTGTATTTCCGTTGTAATAGCAGATAAATAGAATCATTATCGGATATTGTATGGATCATAAACGAAATAAATCGGAAAGAAATCGGAAAGATACAGTCCTATCGATTGTCGAACCAGCGCTCCGCAGAGATTTTCCTCTAACGTATTGTTGAATTCTGCAACAGTTTATTACATGAATCGTAAAAATGTGCACGACACTTGAGTGCTTTTTGTGGACTTCAAATAACAAGAAGCATCTTGGTCATACATCAGCTTTGAGACAACATTATTGCCAAGCAGTTAACTGCCGGGAAATAAATTGACATTCAGTTGAGTTTCTTTTCCCCACAGACAAATTCCTGTTCCTCAAGAGGCTCGCACAGTCTTATGGGATCATTGTATTCGCCTTGTGAACAGGACCTTTGTGGAAGGGTGAGAATGCTTCTACTAAGTTGCAAAAATCTGCTGTCCATTTCGTGTGTATAGCAAAGCGGGGTTTCGCGCATTTTTCGGGTAATTTAGCTGTTTCTTTGATGACGAGCAATCACTATTAACGGTCTTTTATTATTAAATCAAGAGTGGTTGTTTTATTTCTAAGCAGTGTATGAAATATAAATTTCACAGGAAGTTGAATTGGTGTTTTCGTTGATAAACATTATTTATTCACTGATATTCTGCTTTGTTCCATACGTGCCCCCTTCGGCTGCTGTAGTTACAAGATCGTCTTACCTTAAATTTATGTTCAATAGTTGTATCTACCTGTAAGTGGTAAGCAAGGGAGGTACTGTAGGTTAATTGACTTTGGAATGGTAGGGATTCATCTATTTTATGACTAGATATCAAATCATGGAAAATATTAAAATTTGAATCAGGCTTTGACGTACTATTGAAAGATGCTATAAATATTCAGGCTTTGACAGGACTTGGACCCATGCCTCCAAGATACCATCTAAAGTGTGCTTTGCTCCCAAAATACATGTAGGCGTTTACTACTGTCTGAGAAGAACAAGTTTGAATCTTGTCAAAGCCAGGCTTCTTTCAACAATAGTCAAAGGCCTTACTGGAACTTAACTATTGTCAATTGCAAGGCTACTGAAGAATATCATGCACAGATAATCAAATCATTAAGTACAGGGTTTTTTTCTTGAAGATTTGCAAGTGCCAAGAAGTGTAGCAACGAGGGCCGAGCATTGATGCAACTTGACTTTCAACAATACCTCATGAAATTGGAGAAACTTACAGATAATCGGTGAGAGGAGTATGATGTGTTATGAACCCAGCAGGTTTTTGCCGTCAGTGAGAGGAGTATGATGTGTTATGAACCCAGCAGGTTTTTGACGTCATAAAAAGAAGTAACCAGCATGATTGTTTGTTTTTTTTCTCAGACCAATCCCGGACCGTGAGTTTGTAGAAACATATGTCAAGGCATTTTACCTCACTGAAAATGAAATGGAAAGATGGATCCGAGAACACAAGGTAACTGAAATAGATCAGTAAACTTTGCGTGGGAGTTGTGTACCATGAATGTGGACTGGAGGTTGTGAGTTAAATTTTTCTTCCTTTGAAAAATACTTAGAAAAGGAATTATGAAATCTGTATCTGAAATGAGGTTAATGCTTCAGGCCTCAAACTACGAGCTAATTTTTATTTCTTCTGATATATTTCCTTGTTCCAAAGGAGTCTGAAGGAGACTTCATTGTAATATTTTCTCATTACAGAATTCTTCTACAACGGATTCTTGATAAGGCCTGTCATTTTTCTAAAAGTTAATTGAATTGTTCTTTACGTTATAAAGGCCCAAAAAGTTCTCATTGTTAGGAAATCCACCAAAAGAATCCAGCAAAGAAAAAATGGGCTAAAAAAACCGCTTCCCTCTGAGTGATCCATTCCTCAGAAAAGTTACGATTTATAGTTTGGTCATTCACCTTTTTTTTTGTTTGTATTTCACCAAAAGAGAGTGACCCAAAAGCTTTTAGTGAATATAAATCCTTTTAATTTTTGCTTTGTAAGTGATTCTTGGTTATAAAGACATGTTACTGTTTTACCTTCTTTTTGTAGTCTGCCGTCCCCATTTTACCATGGCAATGTTTTATTCTTAGTACTCTCCGCGAATTATTCATTCCTTTTTTATGATAAACTTATAAAGATTTCTTTTTTTCGCAGGAGTACTCTGCTAAGCAGCTGACCAGTTTGGTGACATGTGGTGTAGGCTCACATCTCACAAAAAAAGGGAAACAAAAGCTGTTGTCTATTATTGAAGACATGGAACGTTCCAAAACTCGGTAGCAAGAGCACTGGCTTTCAGTGTGTGTATTTCATTGCTGACTCGCGCTTTATTGTTAAGAAACTTTAATTGTACGATAACATTCACGAAGAAAAAGGAGAACGATAAGGAACTAAATTTGTTTTAGACAAAGCTGTATGTTAAGATTTACAGAGGAAAAAAAACCGTGATAGGGAATAAAAGTTGAAGAGTCACATAATTTCCTTTAATACTGTAGAAGATAGTGGAATTTTTTTGAGAAACTCAGCTCAGAAAACAAATGTTAAACGGCCTTCAACGAACATGAACAACATTTGTTCTCGTAACTTAGTCTTTTATGAGCCAAGGAAATGAAAAGCTTACTTTGTTTTTTTTTAAATACGTACTCGAGATATCTCAAGACACGTTTGTATTTTCTAAATTGTAATGATATTTTATCAAAGATAAAGGGAAGAAAGCATTGTCATTAAATGCAACAGAAACGGTTGCAATCGTCTGTTTTGTTTCTGTCAAAATAGCGGGTACTGGCATAAAGATCCTTGAATATCGATGTTAAGTTCACTTTTCTTACTGTCTTCTCACTTTACGCTATAACAGCTTAACACAACCAACGTTTTGAGCGTCAAAAGCCAGATCTTGTGCGGCTGGTAGTTTTGTGTTTTTAAATAAAGATAAAGAAATATGTGCAAATATAAAAAAAAACTAACTTAAAACCGCGAAGTAACTCTGAGACAATGTTCTGTCACTCTTTGTTGCTCTCCCTTACGAAATATTTTCCTTTTCAAGAAATACAAAACTTTTTTAACATAACTGCGTAGCCTCACACTAAACTTATCTCACTGTTGACTGAGTCAACAAAGTCCAACCTGAACTAACAACAACGCAGAACTATGTTCTAACCCCCAGCGGCTTTTGTCATTAGACATCACGTGATTTTGGCATGCCTTGAAACTTTGCTGTGACTTAAACGTAGAGGATGTTAATTTTGCCGTTTGCCTTTACCATGAAAAAATGTGGTTGTAATGAATGTTTGCTAATCAGAAAAATTTTACTGGCTTAAAACCCGTGGAATCAGACCGAGCCAATCAGGGGTTGCCGTTTGCGTTTACCATAAAAAATGTGTTTCTTATGAACGGTGCCGATCAGAAAACATTGACGAGCGAAAAACCCGTGCAGTTAGACGAGCCAATCAGGGGTGAGCTTCTGGAAATTACCACAGTCTTCGAGGAATTCAACCTCAGCGATTGACTCTTGTGACAATTTTAGCCCTTTTACATTGTTATTTTCCTTTGGAAGCATTCTTCCGTTTCTCCTTTTGTCAAACTTAAGCGACGCGAGACGTAATAGACAAAAAGATTAATGAACAAGTGGTAGTGCTGGTACTCTCACAACACGGTGAGAAGTTTTCTACCTTATAAACCAGTGCCCAGGTGTTCGAAGGCTGATTAGCATGCTTGTTTGCCTAATAAGGTGTGATAATACAGGGAGAAGTTACATGTTATTCACTTATCCGAGGAAATTTTAGCTAAAATATTGAAACTCACGGGAGTTATTTCCATGGGTTGAGCGCATTTTCCAACTGAATTCTTTAGCGCGCCAAAGTGTAGGTAGACAATTATAACATGTCAGCATAACTCGCTCCAGAAGGGTTTCTTATGGCATCTTGCAATATTTTCCCTTCCACAATGGGCCACGATGTTTTCAAGTAGGATTTAGTTCACTTAAATATTCATCATTTTTTGCGTTCTTCTCAGTCTTGTATGACGCACTCCTGTCCAAACACAAGCTAGTCCATTCCAGTCCTTTCCAGTGTAGTCCAGTTCAGTTCAGTTCAGTGGTGTCTAGTTTACTGTGTATTGAGTTGAAACCTCAGCATCCAGTTCCATGCGGTCCAGTCCGGTCCAGTCCGGTCCAGTCCGGTCCAGTCCGGTCCAGTCCGGTCCAGTCCGGTCCAGTCCGGTCCATTCCTTTCAATGTGCTCCAGCACTATACAATGAAGCAAAGTGTAATAAAGGACTGAAGATTACAAAATAGAGTATAAAAGAAAAGCAGGCATTTTTTAATTGAGAGCTTGGACCATTTTGAATTGCTGCAGCTTAAGAAGATCCAATATTCGGGGGCTGTGCATCACTGAGAAGGTTAGAAATCAATTACTATGATTTTGTGATATTAACCTTTGTAAAATAGGTTTGTTCGCCGACGGAAAAACCTGATGCGTCGCATCGAACAGTTGCAGAAAAAAAGTTGAAAGAGGTAAGGCCAGCTCTTTTTTAGTCCCGTTCAGTGGATTGCAGCGCAGTGTAAAGCATTCCAATCCGGAACAGCCCAGGTCCGTAACAGTTAAAACTGCAATGAAGTCTAGTCCAGTCAAGTAAAGTACAGTCTGTAACAGCTCACTGAGTCCAGTCCCGTCCATTCCAGAAGAGTCAAATGCTGTGGAGTCTAGCACAACGCAGTCTGAATCAGTCAAGTTGAGTACAATTTAGTGCAGATTTAGCAAATGGAACAGCTATCGAGCACGTTATACATCAGAAACTCCTTGGGGTTACAGTTGATCAAGAACGAACTTTTAAGGAACATGTAGATAAACTTTATAAGAAGCTTAGCAAAAAACTTGGCTTACTGAAAAAGTTGTGTACTTATTTACACATTGAGGAAAGATTACTCTTCTATAATGCCCTTATTAAGCCGGTCATGATGTATGGTAGTATAGTTTGGACCTATTGTTCTAAGGAAGATCTCAGGAGAGTGTTTCGGTGGCAGAAACTTGCAGCGCGAGTAATATTAGGTGCAGGTATCAGATCAAGAACTGTGGAAAATTTTAAGAAACTAAATTGGATCCCATTCTTTGAGGAAGTCAAGATAAGAAAGTGC